CCGCTCGTGGGTAAAACTTATGATAACCTTGAACAAAGAACAAGTAGTCAAGTAATACATCACAGAAGCACATACAACTTTAATGTTATAGGACTGGAAAAAAAATCCACATCATACAAATTGATGTGAAGATATTAAGTTTGCAAATATCTGAACGGTTTTCACTGTTACATGCATGGGACACCTTCTATAAGCAAGATTCTCAAGTTCTTCAAATTATACATTTTTCAAGATAAACTGATGAGAATTGATTTGAATTTATCTAGATAAATGTAATAACCATGGTGAGGCTTATATGAGCAAAATGGATTTTGCAAGTGATTATTTTCAGAATTCAGACGTTAAGTCACTGTGCTTTCCTTGCATGTATAATTTATGTAATCTACCACATCAAGAAAAAGGTTTGAACTAGACACATTGGTACATGGCTAAAAAAAAAGGACACAATGGTATAAAACCTAAATCATACTTTACAATTTCCTATAAGCTACTAAATTTGAAGGTTTACACCATCATAAGACTTGCTTTAATAAAGGAAGCAAAGACAGTAATTATAACAGACAAAAAGATGCTAAAGAGAATATCGAAAAAAAAAGCTAAACAAGAAGACGGTTCCCCTTTGCAGCATAAAAAATCTGTCTACAAATCCAACTATTGGTTGTAGGCATAAAGGCAGAGAAGAAAATATGCTGCAAATTGCTTTTTAGGAAAAATTGTACACTTAATCAAATCCTAACCAGGTAAAGGCAACTGGTCTTCTGTTAAATCTAGTTATTTGAGTTTAGCTTAGAAAAAGCAAGGAATCAAATCTTGCTTTCCTTCTCATCACTCTTTGTAGGGAGGACAAAAATTCTCAATCATGAGCACACGCTAAAATGGGAATCAAGTAAGGAAGCAAAGCACAGCAGTTGTTGTCACCACACGTTTCTTGTTTGGCATTTGACGGCCAAGATCATCAGGCGGTATCCTCTTAGTACCCTTTGATCAGTCTATAATTCTTGCATGGAATAAACAAAGAGCTATTTAAGTCCAGTATTATCCTATAGTTTTAGTGTTATCCACGTAAGTATTGATTAAAATCCACTACTAAAGGATCATATTCTCAGACATATACTCAAGGAAAGTATGAGAAGTGGGGCAAACGAATCAAAAAAGCAATGAAACTTCTTCTTAACAATCCAAGAACTTAATTGGTTAGGAAGCAAGGAAGTTGGTTCAACTCACCCTTTTTCCATGAGGGATGACTATATATAGGCTGGGCCTAATTGCAACAAAGGCACAAGCAATCTTCACTTCTTCTGTCCCCCTAAATCTGAGTTTCATCCTGCCTTCACTCTATCCATAGCATCAATGGCTCTTAGGACCATCCCTGGTGCTACTCAGCCAACCATCCCTGGTGCTACTCAGCCACTCATTCCTGGTGCTACTCAGCCACTCATCCCTGGTGCTACTCAGACATTCTTCCCTGGTGCTACTCAGCCACTCATCCCTGGTGCTACTCAACCACCCACCAAGAGTGACCGGAGCATGTTAACCATGTCTGATGACAATGTGATGCTGAGGCAAATTCAGGGCACACATGCTCCTAGTGGCCGGAGCATGTTAACCATGTCTGATGACAATGTGATGCTGAGGCAAATTCAGGGCACACATGCTCCTAGTGTCCGGGAAGTTGATGTCAAACCTCTCTTCCATCTTGTTGAGGACATCCTTGACCGTGCCACCCTGCAAGTTGATACTATTTTCTTGGTATATATCAAATGCATTTATCCTATCAACGAAAATAAAATTGCTGAGGTCACTTAAAGCATTTCTCTCCTTCTGTTTATTTATCTTCCTTTGTCTTTTTGTAGGGTTCTCAAGCAAAAAGGGAAATAGAAGAGAAAGCACACCAAGCAAATCTTGTTGCCATGGTTGACTCCCTTGCATACATCATTGATAGAATTTCATGTGAGGTAACCACAATTAACTACAACCAGAAAAATTCCGGGTTTTGTTTTATATACTAACACAATTCATTGCTAACACATTGAGAATTCAAATACCTTCAATTGTCAGATATCTTACAAGGCTTTGGGTGGTTCTGATGCACACCAAACAACACTTGCCATCTTCAACTTGGTATCAGAATTCTCATGGGATGCTAAACTGGTGCTGGCCCTGGCAGCCTTTGCCATGAACTATGGAGAATTCTGGCTCCTAGCTCAGATTTACACATCAAACCAACTTGCCAAGTCAATGGCAATCCTGAGACAGCTACCATCAATCCTGGAGCACACTGGTCCCCTCAAACCCAAGTTTGATGCTCTCAACAACTTGATCAACGTCATGGTGGATGTGACTAGATGTGTGGTTGCATTCAACGACATGCAGCCAAATTACATTTCACAAGATATTCCAGCATTGACTACAGCCCTTGCCCATGTCCCAACTGCAGTCTATTGGACCATCAGGAGTGTTGTGGCTTGTGCTGCTCAAATCACTAGCCTCACCAGCTTGAGCCATGAGATGTCATTGCCTTCTTCATCCATTATAATTCAATTATTAAACTAATACTATTCTTTTTGATTTTCATTAAGTTAGACGGTCAAAAACTGGTGAACTGACAGTTTAGTTTTTATTAATTTTAGGTACTCAATATCAACAACAGAGGCATGGGAGTTATCCACCTTGGCTCACAAGCTAAAAAACATACATGAACATCTTAAGAAGCAGCTGGATATTTGCTACCAATACATAGGTCAAGAACTCATCATATGAATTGTCTTGAGAATATAACTGTTGCAAGGCCTAAAACATTTATTGAAATGCTCATCAAAGGCTTGATTCCTGTAACATGCAGATGACAAAAGGAGTATTGAAGCCTACCAGATGCTTAAAAACCTCTTTGAGACGATCCAAATCGACAACATGAAGGTTCTAAGGGCCTTAATCTATGCCAGGGATGATCTACTGCCTTTAGTTGACGGTTCTACAAAGAAAAGGGTTTAGCTTGCTGCTCTCCCAACTTTTGCCAAACAATTTTTGTTCAGTATCATTTTCTCCATTCTTATTTGAATATATATGAAACAGGTTAGCCTTGATGTTCTGAGAAGGAGGAATGTCTTGCTACTCATTTCAGGCCTGAACATGGCCACCGATGAGCTTTCAATTCTTGAGCAGATATATAATGACTCCAGACTCCATCCCACAAGGCAGGAGAGCCAGTATGAGGTTGTTTGGATCCCAGTTGTGGACCGCTCCATCCAGTGGACTGATGCAATGCAGAACCAGTTTGAGACCCTGAAATTATCCATGCCATGGTACACGGTGCATCACCCTACTTTGATAGAAAGGCATGTGATCAAGTTCATCAGGGAGGACTGGCACTTCAAGAACAAGCCAATCCTTGTAGTGCTGGACCCTCAAGGCAAGGTGGCTTGTCCAAATGCAATCCACATGATGTGGATTTGGGGCAGCAATGCATTCCCTTTTACAACCCTTAGAGAGGAACTTCTCTGGAGGGAAGAGACCTGGAGACTTGAACTCTTCCTTGATGCCATTGATCCGTTGATCCTCAATTGGGTAAAAATTCAAACTTTTCATTAATCTTTTAAAACCCTTGATATTCTTTACAAACCCTTGAATTTTAATCAGTCCTTTGAACTGGAATTGTTCTGATTTCATCAGGCTAAGGAGGGGAAATACATTTTCTTGTTTGGAGGCGACGATGTTGAGTGGGTTAGAAAGTTCGCAAACACAGCAAAGAATGTTGCGCAAACGGCTCGGATTCCTCTTGAGATGGCATATGTAGGAAAAAGCAGCAAGAAGGAGGCGGTACGGCGAGTGACGGCGACCATCAATGTCGAGAAGCTGAGCTACTTCTGGCAAGACCCCGCCATGGTGTGGTTCTTCTGGATCAGGCTGGAGAGTATGCTATTGTCCAAGATCCAGTTGGGCAGGGCCGACGACCAAGACCCCATGATGCAAGAAATCAAGAAGTTGCTCAGCTACGACAAAATGGGCAGCTGGGCTATCCTCTGCAAAGGATCAAACGCAGTGGTCAACGGCCACGGAACCACCGTCTTGCCCGCCCTACTGGAGTATGACATATGGAAAGATCAAGTAGCTGTTAAGGGCTTTGATTTGGCCTTTAAGGATCACCATGGTAAGCTTCATGACATTGCTCAACCCTGCTGCCGGTTCGAGTTCCCAATGGCTGCCGGAAGGATCCCGGAGGGCATGAAATGCCCTGAATGCAATCGCATGATGGAGAAGCACATTACCTTCCTCTGTTGCCATGATGACGGTACCGTTCCAGGGTCAATCTTCTGAGCTTGGACCTCCATGATATCACATCTCCTCCACAAAAATAAATGTCACTCATGGTAATTTTCAACTAAGAATACTAGTTACTTACTCGTACCTTGTATCATATAAGGTCGAGTTCCATATTTCCATGCAATAACAAGGGTACGTGTCTCCAACTATTTTTAACTGAATAGTTGCTCGACGCTAATCGTATCCTTTTTACCTTTTTTTTCTTCAACATATTCCATTTTGTTGTTTTGAGATTTGTCCTATGTATGTATGAGTGGCTGAATTTGATGTTATGATATAATAAAGGTCATGATACTTGGTGAATTTCTCTTTACTCTTATGGTGTATATTATTCATATTATATTACTCTTTTAAATTTTTAGAGGGTAACACCCAACCAAATGCATTGCATTGCCATGAGCTGTGTATTTTTAAAATTTTTCTGAAAAAAATGTTGATTTTAATAAGAAAAAAAGACATATGAAGGATAACCTTTTAATAAATAAAATTATATTAAATTATATAATAAAATTATAAAATTTATATAAAAATAAATCTTAACTTATTATTCAATGATACATTTTGTATAAAAAAAACTTGAACAATAAAAATGTCTATTATTGATCATTTTGCTATTGTTGATTATGTTGGGATTTAACTAATTACATGAGTTTTTGTTGATATAATGATGATAGTTAGAATGTAATTAACTATGGATAATGATAGAGGGGATGATTTTATGGAATGAAAACAGAGGATGATAAGTGAGGTAAGGTTAAATTGATTATTTTGTATCTTGTATTTTGAATTTATCTCACCTATTGTCCTTCATTTTCGTCTCATAAAATTGTCCCCTCTATCATTATCCATTAACCATACACAATTGAAAGTTTTCCTTCTCTTTTTGGGAATGTTAGGAGTAGGATTTAAATCTTATATCTTCAAATATAACATAAAAAATCCCTTATAATAAGATTGTGGTCACTACACCACGAGCACATTTTCTTTCTTTCTTCCAAATTTTGTAATGAAGAAGCATTTTCGGGAATGAATATTAATTATTCCGATTTGTAGTCCATGGGAAAAAGCAATTATTCTGACGATCCGCATTATGTTTGCCATATGGTTTCTCTTAATTACTTGGATGCTCCTCAGTTTTTTGACTTTTTTCAGTATTGTTCAATTTGGTGGTAGTCTATCTTTCTATTATTGTTTTTGAATTCTAATCCATTTCAAAATTTTAAATAATCTAATGGGGCATTAATATTCATCTTTTAAACGAAATTTCTTAATGCCTTGTATTTGGACTATGCCTTTATTTGAACATTGGGAAATTTGGGGTGGAGGATATTTTTTAAAATATTAGTGCAACTTCAACTCCCAACCAACTAAGTAACGAAACCATTAGATTTAAAAGTTCGATTCGGATTATGCTTTTATTTGATTATTATTAATATAAGAAATTATTACTAACTTTAATACAATAGTT